GGCCACTCTCTGCTCCATCCTCTACACAAAGTGTGCTTCTTCCAAGCCTATGGCTTGTGACCCAGCCATCTGTGATTACAGCAGAGCTTCCGAACTTGTGTGTGATGGGAACAGGTGGCGATCCTGTCCTCTCAGCTTGGGGTGTGGTTGTGGTACCGTTTTGCTTACTAATATTTTCCAAAATTAATCAGCCTGTGTGGGTTCTTGACAAGTATTCAGAGAAGAAGTCTGAATCCTGGCTCAAATAGACCAGACAACATGATACATTTTGAGGATTTTTTTTTTTTTTTTGACAGGCAGAGTGGACAGTGAGAGAGAGACAGAGAGAAAGGTCTTCCTTTGCCGCTGGTTCACCCTCCAATGGCCGCTGCGGCTGGCGCACCGCGCTGATCTGAAGCCAGGAGCCAGGTGCTTCTCCTGGTCTCCCATGGGGTGCAGGGCCCAAGCACCTGGGCCATCCTCCACTGCACTCCCTGGCCACAGCAGAGAGCTGGCCTGGAAGAGGGGCAACCAGGACATAATCCGGTGCCCCGACTGGGACTAGAACCCGGTGTGCCGGCGCCGCAAGGCGGAGGATTAGCCTAGTGAGCCGCAGCGCCGGCCCATGTTTTGAGGATTTTATTCAGTGAGAGAAATGGAGAGAAGAGTGAGGGCTTTATTTGGGGAAGAAAGAGAAGTCTAGAAATTAAGTTGGGAAGTTGGGACCATACCAAGCAGAGGGCAGGCCAGGAGTGAGCCTCATGTAGCAAGCATGCAGGCAGGAAAGCAAGGAGACTGTGGCCCGAAAGCCACACGCCCTGAATACACAGGCAGCAAGGGCCAGGCCCACCGTGCTCGAGGCCTTATATATACTTTTAAAGGGGCAAGGTCATGTAACCTGATTGGCAGGTGGGCATACAGGTGGAGTCAGGTAGGGGCATGAGATCACACAGGGGGTCTGGTGGAGGGCGTAGTCTTCCAGCTCACAAATCTAATCCAACTTATCCTATCTGTCTGCCTAAGGTGACCCAAAGGCAACCTGTTTCTATCTCTGGGAACAGTTGTCCAGGAGGAGCAGGGGACTGTCTTTCCCAGAGGACTCCCCAGGATGAGTGCCTCCTGGCTGGGGCCAAGTGTGTGTCTACCTCCCCTATTCCCTAGAGGACAAGGTCATGTCCTAGTGCTCCTGGGGGGCCAAATGCTGTCCTGGGAGCTGGGAGTGGGAGCACAGCCCCACTCCACTGTCCTCTCGCATGTCACAAACTGATGCCTTACTGGTTAAAGCAACTCTTTCAACCAAACTAGCTTCAGGAAGCCAGTTGCAACTGAGTGTGTGCATGCTGTTAAATACAGCTGCACTGGTCTTTCAAAGTCCTTTCTAGGCACATGAAAAATCTCAGAGCAGACTGGAAATCTCCGCTCATTTTCATGAGATGTTGCAACTGTTCAAGAAAACTGAGCCTTACCGATGCTTTCACATTGAAACTATATAACAGTTTCATTGGGGGGGGGGGGGTGCCTACTTGAGTAAATACACTGTTTCACAAGGACTCCAGAAAAGTGGAATTATTGGGGATGAGCCAAGTTTAAGGTCCAACAAGGCTCACTTTTTAACCAGGTCCGTGAGTGCTGGCAGAGTTGCTGGGAGTTATAGAATATTTAGGTCAGGAGGAGGAAGCCAGGTTTTAAGCAGGGCTGTTTTCTACACGAGCAATTTGATAATGACCTAAAGATACAATATAAGAGCGGGACCTGTATCTCCAAGGCCAGCTATTATGACCTTTTGCTCTCATTCAACTAAATATTAGCACTTGTACCTGGCTTAGTATTATTCATTTTCTATTCTACAAACAGAAAACCGGACAGAGTTAGATATACAAGGGCGAGTTCAAGTTCCTCGTTAGAAAGACATGATGAGCGGAAGGGGCTGAAAAATATTTCTTGCCACAGATTCACACAAATCCTTTTTAAAAATATTTTTCTAAAGGATTTAGATTTTCTTTTCCTATTCGATAACATAAAGAGCATGCCGTGGACATCTCACCAAATGCTATGTTCCCTGCTCTGTGCCAGGCCTGCCGTGCTGGGCTTCCCATCTCTGCACCAACAGCCCGGTGGTCCCGTATACACAGGGTCCTGCAGCCCCAGCTCAGCGCCTGTGCAGAGCAGCCCCTCTCCCCCGCCTGGCCCGTGTTCAGGCGCCTGGGCAGGACCGACTTGGCCCTGGGTATCCAGCAGCCGGCCTAACAGTTTACGTTTGGTTGGTTGACAAGCTTGTCAAAGCTGTCTGCGCAGTCACTGCGGGGTGGAGCTGCAAAGGGGCGGATCGATGTGTTTGTGTAACTGCCAACTGCGTTTCTTCAGCATTAGCCAGAGTTTGCTTTCCTGGGACTCCATCCAGTTGCTGAACCATTAGGTTAACCTTTATGGTGTTAAATCACAGTGGTGCATGATGTTAACCATTAACATGGAGATGTTAACATCCTGGTGGTGTGAAATCATTAAATCAATCTTCCTCTGCCCCCTTAGGGTAGGAAGAGTTTCTCTGTTTTGTTTTCCTTGAGGTTGTTGCTTGCTTGCTTTGTATTGTGACTTTGACTCTTAGAAAGGATGCTGGCCCTGCTGGGGTTGTGGCACAGCAGGTGAAGCTGCTGATAGCTGAACCCTTGGGTCAAGTCCTGGCTGCTCCACTTCAAATCCAGCTCCCTGCTAATGTAAGCAAGAAAGCAGCAGGCGGTGGTCTCCCTGCACCTACATGGGAGACCAGGGTGGAATTCCTGGTTCCTGGTTCCTGGCATTAGCCTGGTCAAACCCCCACTGATAAAGGCATTTGGAGAGTGAATCAGCAGATGGAAGATCTCTCTCTCACTACATCTCTCTCTTTCTTATTCTGCTTTTCAAATAAGTAAACAAAGCTTTTTTTTCTTAAAGAGTAATGTCCAGTTATGGTATAGATCATCCTCTCCCTTTAGGTGTGTCTGCTATTTCCTCGGATCTGAGTGGCTACTTGCACGTCTGTTTGGTACTGTTTAGGCAGTGTTTTATAATCTGAGGGATTTTCAGTAAGAGTCATTTTTTGGGCCCAGTTTTCCATGGGGGCATCTGTCAGTCAGTCTAGAACAATTTCCACAATGGAGTTTCTAGACAAACATTGGGGATGAAAAATTATAATTGCTGTCTCAGTCTATTTTGGAACATCTGGCTTTGAATCCACTTTCCATTTTGCAAAGATGGACTAAAATGTGTCTCAACACCATGTGCCAGACCATGCAACAGAAGAGGATGGCTTTGAGAACATGAAACGGACACCATGAGTTCTTCAATTCTCCCTTCAACGTCACTTTCCTACCCTCTCCTTTGCAGATTTCGAAAGAGAAATCAACAATGAGGTTAGAGCCCAGAACTTCTGGTCACAAACAGCACTGATCTCTAGAGCAGTTGATTCGATTTAAAATATTAAGGATGTTAAAGTCTTGTTCAGATGCTTGCTGTGTGCAGCATCTTCCCCCTCTGCTTTGTCTAGGGAACATTGTCTGAGCATCCTAAAGACCATAGTTTGGGTTTGTTTCCTTTCAAAGTCCAGGTCTATAACTTTGGACTTCCTACAATCACAAAGTTTAGGTAAATTAGGAAGCCAGACTATAAACGCCATTGCTGAATAGACTATTTAGATACTATTACAGTGATGACCTTGAATATCACATATGCAGGACTACAGATGTCTTACCCACTGGAGGACAGGTGGAAGAAGCTCATGGGACTCTGGATTTGGAGTTGACTGAGTTTGGATATCCCAACCAGGTGGGACTTGGAACTCACGCTGTGACCTCTGTGAGCTGTGGCGTGACAATGCTGCAGCCAGACAGCTTGTCTACTGCAGCTGGAGCACTTGGCCACGAGGGCAGACCCCCAGGCTGGCCAGCACTAGGCTCCCTTGGCTGTTTATGCACTTGGCAGTATCATGCCAGCCTCAGAAAAGGGGACACTGTTTTCTGATCAGTCTTTGAGAGCAGCAGGGCGTGTCCGGGGGGTCTTTCTGATCCACTCCCATGGAAGACACTGCTTTGCACAATGGGTACAAAGTGTCTGAAGTCCCTCTCCATTTCCTGGTTTCCACGACCTCTTCTGTAAGGTGGCAGCTGAACCAGAAGTTTAAATATTCAACCTGAGGAATGTTAATGGCAGTGGGATTTCAGACAGTGAAGGCTGGAAAACAGCCCAAATGGAGCCAACCAAAGGGAAATGATTAAATATATTATAATGTGTAGGAGGAAGAAAACCATTAAAATCATATTTAGCGCTATGGGAAAATATTCACAATATAACACTCGGTAGCGTTAATGAAGCAGAAATAGATGCATACAAAATGACGCGTTATTATATACATAGCAGTACTGACAGTAATATGTGTGTTTTATATTTTCTTCGTTTGGCATCTTTCATATTTTCTACAGTTTAAAAGGACAACCTGTATTTTATGAGGGAAAAAAAAAGTCATAGTGAAAAAAATTCAAGTAGAAATGTTTGCCTTCTTTGACCGAGATCTTTGACTTCAAACTCTTTATCCTCAGGAAGAAATCTGAAATTTTGATGGGTAACGACTAGAAAGGACATAAAACTGAAAAATAAGCAGTGATGTGGAGAGGGGAACTCTCAGGAGACTGCGGTCCTCACCGAGGCAGTCCCTAAGCACTGTTTATTCCTTGGTCTTAGTCTTAGTCTTATTTTATACCTGCAGGGCTTCTTAGGAGTGTGTGCTCTGGGGCCTTGGGACAAGGGAGGCCCTCCTGGTCCAGTTTTCTATGTACACTTATGAGATTGGCACACTGGTGTTAGCTTTAGACAGATTTCTCTAGAATGAAACGTGGCCATCTGAAAACACTAAAGAAAAACAGAGCACAAACTGGAACATATGCAAGCCCCACAGCTAAGTAAATACTTCACTCTAGCAAGCGAAGTCAACCCTCTACCAGCTAAATACACCAGACATGCACACAGCCATCAGGAATACAGATACCTACTCATCGATGTGTTCTCAAGGTACACAACTGAAGACACAGGCTAGAAGTAGGATGCTGAGGGAAGGAAAGGGAAAGGTTTGAGGATAGAAAATTCTACTCCTTTCTGTACCATTCTAGAACTTTCCATAGTTGCTTAAAGGGACAGCGTACAATCCTCATAGATATAGAACCATGTTTGGAGACAAAACCCGGAAGGAAAGCAATCAAATATCACATGGGTATCTCTGTGATGGACACATTGGTGGTATTAATTTTGTTCATTACCTTTCCTCTACATTTCAATCATTGTATGATTAGCACGTGTTATTTGGAAGATTGGAAAGGGCATGTTTTCAAAACAAAACACCACATAGGTTTTGTCTGACTTGGTGATGCCATGTCACTCTTTTCCCAAAATGTCTCACTGGGTGAGAGTTTAGAGACATAAATTCAATGATGTTTTGAGGATTGTATGCTGTCCCTTTAAGCAATGGTGGAAAGTTCTAGAATGTTACAGAAAAGAATAGAATTTTCATTCCTCAAACCTTTCCCTCTCCTTCCCTCAGCATCCTACTTCTAGACTGTGTCTTCAGTGTGTATCTTGAGAACACATCGATGAGTAGGTATCTGTATGGTTTTTCTGATGGCTGTGTGCTTGTCTGGTGTATTTAGCCGGTAGGGGGTTGACTTCACTTGCTGGAGACTTGTATTTATGGTGTTGTTATGGCTTCCCCTGAAAGTGAGGCATGCTTCTCTTACCTGTAAGTAACTGGGGCACTCTCCTGGGAAGAAGTGTTGAGGGAGACCTATGGGCTTCCCCAGGATGAAGGCTGGCAGGATGCAGAGCCTAAGAAGATGACCCTGTACAGATGGGAAGCTCTGTGCATGGAGACGGCTGTATGCAACTCCACCCCTATCCCCGGAGTGCAGGATCCCCTGGGACTGGGAGGATGCATACACTATGCCAGTGTAGCACCCTCAACAAAGGTCCCAGCAGAGGGGCTGCCAGACTCAAAAGGATCATAGAGGCCTGAGCTCAGAACTCTGGGATTGGGGCTTGGGGTAGGGGAAGGGTGACCCCCACAATGGACAGAATGGACAGGGCTAAGATTTCTTACCAAAGCTGATGAGTGACAGCTCAAACTGTATTCAATTTGACATTTTTTTTAAAATAGAGAATTGTGGCTTTTTTTTTTTTACCCTGGGGTGTCATGGAGAAATTTATGCCTGTCTTAATAAATAAAAAAAGAAACACTTAATAAAACTATTTCTAAGACATAGTTAATAACCTCATTTCAAAAACAGTCAATCTCGGAAAATCCTGATCAAAAGGCTGGGCTGAACCATTAAAACTAGGATCATGGCTCTCTCCTGTCAAACCAGGACTTGGGGCCTGAGTGGGCTGTGTTGACAGAGACCCCAGGCAAAGCCCACCTCCTCCCACCCCTGCTCCCTTGCGCACTGCAGATTTCCTAAGGCTCAGGGTTTTCTTGCTGGAAATTCCTTTGCAAGCTCAGACAGTGATCCTAGCTTTCCCAAACCTGCCCCCACGTACTGTCCCTTGAGGGTCCAGACCCCGAGTGTAACATCTCCAATCCTGTAATTTCCACTGACCTTCATCCGCTTCAGAAATCCCCAAGCCCATGTGCACAAGCTGTCAGCAGCAGGGGGAAGAGAGGGAAATGTATTGCAATTTGGGGGGATTTTATTTTTTTTTTAAGATTTACTTATTTATTTGAAAGTCAGAGTTATACAGAGAGAAGAGAGGCAGAGAGAGAGAGAGACAGACAGACAGACAAACAGACAAAGACAGAGGCAGAGAGAGAGGTCTTTCATCCTCTGGTTCACTCCCCAATTGGCTGCAATGGCTGGAGCTGTGCTGATCTGAAGCCAGGAGCCAGGAGCTTCTTCTAGGTCTCCCATGCAGGTGCAGGGGCCCAAAGACTTGGGTCATCCTCCACTGCTTTCCTAGGCCATATCAGAGAGCTGGATCAGAAGTGGAGCAGCCAGTACTTGAACTGGTGCCCATATGGGATGCGGGCATTGCAGGCAGCTGCTTTACCCACTATGCCACAGTGCTGGCCCCATTTTGGGGGACTTTAGAAGAATAGTCTGGTACACGTAGGGGGTCCTGCAGCATGGCTTTTTAATCAAACACATCCATAGCTCTAATGATATCTCAAAGTTGAGATATCTGCAATGGCTCTCCTAGACTTCACTGCTAAAACCCCTTCCCAGCTTGCTCATGGATCTCGTCAATGGCCAGGCTGCTGAAGCCTTCATCCGTCTCACCAGCCAGTCCCCTTAGTTTGACTTCTGCCCTCCCTCACCAATACCACCCGGTGGTTGATTCCTCCCGCATTCCGGCCATGCTACAAGAGTTTGCCGATTGCGAGCTCACTCACTACTGCTCCACATTGCCCCTCTCAATGCATCCGGGTGGCAGAGGGAGGAATGATTAGACGGCATTAGAGGACTCATCTCAATCATGTAGTGCTGCCTGTTCCTCTTCCAGTCACAACCAAAGTCCCAGGCATGGCCTGCCGGGCCCAGATCAGCAGCTGCCACTTACCTGGGCAGCGTCACCTTGTCTCACCTGCTTTCTCCATCACTGGCCTCTGTTCTCTTGCTCACACCTGCCGTGCTCTGTCCCACCTGGAAATGGTCCTTGGCTCTGCCCTCAGGGAGGCTTTTCCATGTCCTTCCAAACTTCAACCCCATAGCATCCTCAGGACAGCCTTTCCTGCGGAGTCTGTTTTTTGTAGACTCACTCCTCCTTCTTCCCTTCTCACTGTGATGTGACCGTGTTTAGCTGTGGCTAGGACCAACCTCATGGTGTGATGGCTGTTGATTCTGTAGCATCAATTTTCAGGGTTCCCACTTTACCTCCACTAGCAATGTCAGCTAGGGCCTGCCTGGTACTGGATACACAACACAAGTTCGTCAAACACCCAGCCATAACTCTGTAGTCTACCCTGTAATAGTCTTGCGCCAATATTTTAAAATTTATTTTGAATAGTTTTATTCTACTTGGTACTTGAGTGTCATTTCATTGATATAGTTTCTCTCTCTCTACATATACATATTCTTTCATGTGTGTGTTGAAATATTTTGTTCATTTTGAAGCTCGGCTCTTTAGTTTTAGATTTCTGGAGTTCTTTGTGTTTTTCTTGTACATATCAAATGTGTTTGATAGGTAAATTATTGGTTAAGAAGTGAATGATTGGGGCCAGTGCTGTAGCACAGTGGGTTAATGCGCTAGCTGGCATCCCATATTGCTGCCAGTTCGAGACCTGGCTGCTCCACTTCCAATATAGCTCTCTGCTATGGCCTGGGAAAGCAGTAGAAGATGGCCCAAGTCCTTGGGTCCCTCCATCTACATGGGAGACCTGGAGGAAGCTCCTGGCTCCTGGCTTTGGATTGGCTCAGCTCTGGCTGTTGTGTTCAATTGGGGAGTGAACCATCGAGTAGAAGACCTATCTCTTTCTCTCTCTCTCTTTCTCTCTCTGCCTCTCCTCTCTCTGCGTAACTCTTTCAAATAAATAAATAAATCTACAAAAAAAGAAGTGAATGATTGATGAATTGAATGCTTGAATATTAGAGCTAGTCCATGTTCACTATCTCACATGGTACCTGGAATACAGCAAATACTCATTCATTAGAATTATTGTTATTATTTGGTTATTATTGCTGTTATTATTGTCAGGACCTAACGTTGCTAAGTGGCAGGGTGGGGTGGGGGGCTGGTTGTGAGCTCTCTGATCTATGTTGGCTCATTTTCGAATTCCAAATAGGGCTGACACAGAAGGTACTGGTCTTGCCTTCTGCTTGCCTGTTAATGCACAGCTTCTACCAAGGATCATGATCTATGGGCCTCAAGGCTCCCTTCAAGAACTCTAGGGACTTTTAAGTGGGTAATTAAATCTTGAGAGATTGGTCCTGGGCATTTCATTCAGCTCAAAAATTATTATATTTATTGATATTCACCATACGGTCCTCAGAAAAGGAATTCATTGCTTAATGATTAAACTTCACATATGTTACAGATTAAAGTCAATATATCCCATGACATATTTAGATAACACGTTTCCCAATTCTTCAGCTACTCAAGCCCACGTTTCTTTTTAAAATTCAGATTAGTTATCATCTTGACTACCCCAGGTTAGCTATTCATCATTTAAAAAAATTCCCATCCAGTACAAAAGGCCCAAAGTGTCTTGTACTCATGAATTCTTAGCTGTTTCTTTTATTGTTGAAGGGAGAAGAGAGTGATTTCAGATTTTTAAAAGTTTTATTTGAAAGAAAATTAAATGGATCAATTGTGCTTATATAAACATGAAAAAAAAAAACCCTTCCATTGGCTTAAACAAGGCACAGATACATTATTGAAGGAGACTGTTATTACAGGCAGTAATTTAAAACACATATCAAATCTGCTTTCCTCTAATGTAAAGGATCTAGGCTTTTTAAAAATGAGAAAGACATGAAAGACACGTTTCTCATGCCATTTGATGAAATGTTTGACAGAACAGAAAGCCTCAGAGATTATTGGGACTTGCTGTTCTTGGAGACCATTCACCATGATTTCTGCTTTTGTGGTTGCTTTAGGATAAAGAAAATTATGAGCCTTCACCTAATGTGAAAGTCATATCTGACCATCTGGCTCTATTTCAATGAAATCTTCCAAATGTCTTCTCAGAATTAAAAGAAAAACCATGCATCAATATATTAATGCACTTAATATTTGGGAGGGGTGGCACTAACTATGGTTATTTCTAAAATATCTCCACAGCATACCGTTAGTCACCATTATGTAGCCAAAGCCAACAGTAAATACTTCAAATGCATTTAATGATCATCTTAAAAGTTCTCAATGTACCTCCTTCATCTTCTTAAATGAATTCCATTGATTCAGAATTTATGATAACATCCATGAGTTGAATGCAATAGATTCTCTTACCTTTTTAGTTTTAAAAATGGTTTCAATAAGCAAATGTCAGTGTAAATAAGGGTTCAAGTAATTTTCCAACATCCATCATGTGTTTTTACTTCCTGTTCACCCTCATCATCACCACCTCTATGTATGGAATACCAATG